CGAGAGTGAGTGATTTGAATGCTTGAAAGGAAGGGTCATCTGACACTTTATTATTGTTCCCTTTATATCTCACCTTTACTCAAATGAGCTTTTCCCCTAGGAAGCTGAGCTGAGGGCGGCCAGGTCTGTTTGCATGGATGCCTTGCTGAGTTTTTTTTTCCTGGGCTTTCTTTTTGTCTCCTGAGCACATGGCCTGGGGGTAGGGCCTAGGGGTGGGACTTCCTGATTTAAAAGAGTGTGTCCCAGGACCCTGGACCCTTTTCCCTAGGAAGGTGGACTGAGGGCAAAGGCCAGGTCTGTTTGCATGGATGCCTTGCTGAGTTTTTTTTTCCTGGGCTTTCTTTTTGTCTCCTGAGCACATGAGACAAAAGCACAGAAATTTTATGTCTGGCCTTCATATGGTAAATAGGAAAGCCAATGGGATTTGCATAAGCCGGGTAGTCAGGAAAGTTTTAAGGATCAGATCATACTTTTGCACTATTAAAGAGCAGGCCGGGTAGGTGGGGCTCGTCAGCCATGGAAGGCAGCCCATCTAGGAGAAGGAAAACTCCAATTTCAAACCTCCACTGCCTTGTGGCTATATCCACTCATGGAAAAGGCTTCAGGAGTTAACCTCGAGGCAAAATCCGGAGCTGGAGTCCCGAAGGCAGCATGTGTCGTTCTGCCAACTCCTGCGACATTGCTGGAACCAGTTGTATTGGCTCTTGCCTTTCCATTGGACCATTTCAGCAATGTGGAGAGGGGGGAACCTGCTGCTTGGGTAACAGCCTATCCTCCATATTACCTTACCCGGGCTTCATGCTCTGGAGAGGACACTCCCCGATTCAGAGCATGTTACCATAGTCTCTCGAGACTGAAGGATGCCTATGTACTCAAATGAGCTCAAGGCAGTGTGGGTGCTGTCCTTTCCACTTCATCCTCACAATTTCCCTCTGAAGTTGTTGTTGTTTAGTCATTTAGTTGTGTCTGACTCTTCGTGACCTTGTGGACCAGAGCACGCCAGGCCCTCCTGTTTTCCACTGCCTCCCAGAGTTTGGTCAAATTCATGTTGGTAGCTTCGATGATACTGTCCAACCATCTTGTCCTCTGTCGTCCCCTTCTCCTCTTGCCCTCACACTTTCCTAACATCAGCCTTTTTTCCAGGGGGTCTTCTCTTCTCATGAGATGGCCAAAGTACTGGAGCCTCAGCTTCAGGATCTGTCCTTCCAGTGAGCACTCAGGGTTGATTTCCTTCAAAATGGATAGGTTTGTTCTCCTTGCAGTCCAGGGGACTCTCAAGAGTCTTCTCCAGCACCACAATTCAAAAGCATCAATTCTTCTGCGGTCAGCCTTCTTTATGGTCCAGCTCTCACTTACATACATAACTATTGGGAAAACCATAGCTTTGACACCATCTGAACCAGAGAATTTGGTTGAGACCTAGTAGGTCAGGCTAAAAAAAGAGTGAGAATGACTTTGGACCAGGGTGTCCCTTATCTTAGCCTGATCAATCTCACCATCACTTCAGGGGAAGACCTTGCACGTACATGGCCAGCTTCCTTTCTGTAGATATTCCCCCAATGTGTGGACAGTGGAGGGGGATGGGCTCGGTGGGATATAAAGTCAGAGTCCTGAAGTCAATCACGTAAAGGGAATACTTTGTGAAGAGGGCTTCAGCTTCATAAAAATGTCACAGGAACCCCATTCCAGTCTTCAGATACCACTGAAGGAATCCCCACCTCCCCTGTGTGGACACTGTGCAGAACAGCCCTCCATCGCCTTTATAGCTTAAACCCTCAACTCATAGATTAGTTTAACTCACAGCTGACCTTGCTGGCTGGAGGATCTAAATATTACTTTCAGGAAAGTAACTTTTGCAAGCTCTAGATTATCATTATGAAATAAGATAGGATGAATTTTAAGTTAAAACCAAAATGTATGATCAAACATGGTGAACAAGGTGAGCTTCTGCCATCCAGGCCCATTGAGTGTTTTTCATTTTCCATGTTTCCTGCCACATCCTTCAATTGGGTGAGTGCTTGTTTTCAGTGGGTCACACACACACACACCAGTACTTAATGGTACAAAAAAAGCACGTCTTAGAAGGGGAAAAATGCGCACAGATTTGCATTAGTAAAGCCTCAAGGATATTCTGGATGTTCCAAGCATGTCAGCAGCACGTCTCACATGAACAATATATAACATGCAGAGGGGAGGAAATGGGTTCAGCCTATTCTTTGTGCGTGTGGTATGCATGTACTCCTGAACCTGCCAACACCCAGACATTGAGAACAATACTGGATGCAGGCTCAATGCGAGGGAAACTTCCATATTAACTGATTTACAAGACGTGTCGTTCTGCTGGTTTGGTTCTACTTTATGATGATCCATTACCCAATGTAGCTATAAAACCAGGACTGTTGTGTAGCATCTGCATTCGTGTTCAGGAATGGGGACAAGGCTCACTGATATGCAAACAGGCACACATTCTATGAGCTCAAAATGCTAGCTCTCAATCTTTGTTCAGTCACCTGGATTACAACATGGGCAATGAAAAGGTAAAAATGGTCAGCTCTTACCATGAGGCTCAGAAAGCTTTTACTGTGTGGCAAATTAGGAGGGGCAGCAAAAAAAGAATATAGACACACACGCACACACACGTATGCACGTGCGTGCGTGCGTGCGCACGTGCGCGCGCGCACACACACACACACACACACACACACACACACACACACACACCACTGTCTATCTAAGGTCCTGTCATCACAATTTTCATCGTAATTTGGAGGCAAGTGGTGGTCGAGACTCCTGGTATTCCTCCAGATGCAGACTCAGCAACAGGCAGCCAAAATTTAATATCCACCCACATTTAGTACCTGAGACTATGATAGCACATAGAACAACACCTTTGGAGAATTAAAAGGACAACTGCCAAGCTGCCCATAATCTTTGGGGGATTGAAACTTAGGGGCTGCTTACTGTTGAGTCTGATGCTCTTCAACCTCAACATGCCCACATTTGGCCATTGTGTGCTGTTCTGTGTCTGTGTGTGGCTGGCAATGAATGGGCTGTAGCAATGTGGGGTGGTAACTCAATGAAAGAAATATCCTTTTTTTTTTTGCCCACAAGAGATGAGAGCATGCTTTAGGTCAGTCCTGGTTATTACTCATTACATAAAGTTGAGTATGGACCTCTGAAAAATCAGATCCTTTGAAACAGAAGACTAAACTAGATGATAACTTGAGAAACCATGCAATGTATGTGTAGTCCTTTGTGTGTATTTGTGTGTTCCTCAGTACACATTTGCAGTGGCCTTTAAGGACAAGGAAAGACATTCATTAGAAGACATGAAAGGAATTCATGTTCCTCCCAAGAACAATGAGCTTATAGACATTATTGGTCTAAATAACTATCACAGAGCTGTACCTCAATGTATTTCTTTTATTTACTCATGCACTTGAGAGGACGATACCTCCTTCTAAACTATATGGAGACTGGTTTGTGTTGTGTGAGGTACTTATGTGACCTGGCACCCATGTCTCTTCAAACTGTTTGGCAAGGTTCTGGAAAAATGACATGGGGAGACGCTAGTCCGAGATGGTTTAATAACAGTGATTGGTGAAGGTGTTCTGGCAACTCTGTGGAGTCTGAACTATGAACTCATATTGGGCTATGAACATGGGGAGCTAATTTGTATCACGTCAGACCACCGATCCCCGTGGGAGACTCAGAGGAGTGATGGCTTGTAAGAATCTAAAGCAGAGAACTTTCTCCAGCCCTACCTAGAGCCGCCAGCAATTCAACATGGGGACTTTTGCTTGCAAGCATGTGCCCTGCCAAAGAACAACCGCCCTGATTTTCCATATAAACCCAGAAGCTGCAAAAGCTACTTTCTAAAGACTCTAAGTCCCAGAATCCCCCAGCTAGTATGATCCTTTAGTCAGCCCAGCCCTGGGAATACTGAGTGGGAGATGCTTGGAGCAGTGGTCCAAAACAAAAACAAACAAACAAACAAACAAAAAACCACTTTTCTGACCATTATATGCTATTGGCTATAATTACTGGTTCAAGAAAACATTTAGCAGGAACAAAACTAATAATCACCACCAGATAAAAGAGGTAACGAGAAAGGACCCCAGGCCATGATCAAAACCCAGGTTCCAAGGAAACAAAATTCAAATTATAGACAAAAATGCTAAATTCACAACTAGTTGCAAAGGAAATGGTTAAGTCTCTTGAATCACACCCTAGTTTGTCCAGCTTATACTGTTGAAGTCTATCCCTAATAGTGACAGGCTCAAGGCTTTTTTGAAATAAGGAACTGTCTTTATAGTCTATGGACTCTGACTAAGAGTGAAGTCCTATAAGAGAGTGGTGGCTAAACCACGGATCTCCCAAGATTGCTAGACTGCAACTCCCACCAGGCCTAGCAAGTGCAGCCAGTCTTGTGGGAAAGGGAGCCATTCTTCAAAATGTTGAAGATCTGCCAAAGGCCAGCTCATCCGATGCCACGGCCTCGAGGGTTGTTCACCATCGGTTGACATCATTGCATCGCAACATATGAGATGATTAGGTCATCATAATGTATTGCAGTGAGCTAACAATTCTATAGGGATGTCCTGGTCACTTCTTTCATCTCCAAATTGGGGGGGGGGCAAAAGCCACATGGGACGTACGCAACCAAAAACACCATTCTACCAGTACACCCGTGCCACATAACCAAGTATAATGTTTTTGCAAGACCTGGGAGGAGTGTGGCCCTGCCCTTCCAATATTGGGGCTTGTGGGGGGTGGGTGGGAGGCTTAGGGAGAATGAAAGCTCTCACCTATCTAGCTCTTCTTACCTTCGCCTTTTCTACAATGAGTGCCACCCTCTCTCTTTTTGAAAACCCAGACTCTGCAGCCTTTGGTAGAATCAGCTATTTTCTGCTCTCTCTAAGTCCCTCCCCTTTTGGGGGGGGGGGAGACTGCGAAATTGCTGAAAGTAATTGAGTCTCTCTGCATATTAATGAGCTTGAGGAATGGGCAGCAGGAGCTGTTTTAAAAGAGGAGGGAAGCTGCCGTGCTCAGAGAGAGAGCAGCAGGGAGACCTGAGAGGGCTGCTGCTGTAGCAGGAGAAGCAGCACCACTAAGAGTAACCAAGAGAGCAGATTAGAGTTAAGACACCTTAAAAATCCACAGCCTGGCTGGCAGCAACACTCAAGTCTCACTCTGACTGCTGCATCCCATCCAAGAACAGGGGCAAGAAGAGGAAGGCGATAATCCAAGTTACATCTTTGAGGTCTCCTCATCATGAAGCTCTTGACAGCAATATTCCTTTTACTGTTCATTGTAATCTGCTTTACAAGTGTAGAAGGTAAGTTACAGGTTATTCTTTAACAACCCATTTCATCTCTCTCTCTCTCTCTCTCTCTCTCTCTCTCTCTCCTTCCTTCCTTTCCCCCTTCCCTTGTTTCACCTTTACTGTTCACGGAAATAGTTAGTTTATTATTAGAGTTCAGTTATGATTGTTTCTTTTATTAGAAATATTGAGCCAGGGTACCGTGAAAATAATAAAAGACAAGTCTCACGTTGAAATGTGGGTCTGTAAATTTGACAAAGCTTTAAAAAAAAAGGCCAGCTTCTCTCTGCACTCAACATGTTAATTTTCTGAGCCAAAAGGAATATTATGGGATGGATTTCCCTAGTTTTTTAATCTGGTCTGAGCTTCTTACGAAATGATAATTTCAGGCACTTGATGGCTCGGTGGAGAAAGTCAACTGATTTCAAACTGGCACTGCCGCCGTCAGATTCGGCAGCCTCCAAAGTTTCAGTTCCATGGTTTCATGAATTTATTGCATCATAATTTGAAGATTTAGAGTTTGCTGAGCTCAGTACTATTTTGCTATAGTTTGTGGAAGAATGAAAGCTAAAGAATGATTGACATTATCTTTAAATCTGGGACAAAAAAAGAATAAGCAAACAGAAGTTATAACCTACCAACTTTATGGTATCATTTTTTTTTATTTTTTACTTCTTATCTCTCGGTAAGGCTGATCACAGCAGGTGCATTTTTAATGGACAGGATTGCAACATGGTTTCAAAACTGAAAAGCTACCATCCTGTACAAAAGTACTTTAAAGTTAGTCCTTTTAATAAGTCGTACATCTGAGTAGACATGCCAGAAATGAATCCGTCTGAATCCCAAGAAATTTAAAACACCTAAGCATATACAGGATCCCAGCTTATTGAATGAAAAACTTTGTTCAGGTTTTGTTCTTGTTTTTTCAACATACTGTACATTTTTTGGAAATACAGTGAGTTTACTTAAAAGTTATTGCTTTTTAAAAATTAAACTCTAGATAGACTGACTGCTTGTATGTATATTAAAATAGCTTCTGAGCATGCTAAAAAGAGTGAGCATAATTTAAGAAAAGCTATGTACAGGAAGTTGGGATAATAACATTAAGAGTATATGCTGTGTGATGACTTCTATACACAAACAGATCAATACATTTTCTTGTAGGATCAAAATGCAGATGCTTACGAAAGGGTCCCAAGATAAGATTTTCTGATATACAAAAACTTGAAGAGAGGCCAAAATATCCCTATTGCAAGGAAAGAATGATCATGTAAGTCCTGCTTTTTTATCTATATGTATAGGAGTCTGGATTTTCCTGCAAACTTCAGAGATAAAAAACAAAACTTTTAGCATGGTATGCTAAAACCTGAAAAACAAAACAATTGTTAACTATTCTAAAAAAAGTTCTGTTTGTCTCTGGTATAGTTAGAACAAAATCATTTAGCTGTTTATTCAGAATAGGTCTCATTTCTGTGGGGTGTACTCTCATTTGAATAGCATTGCAGCCAAAATATGCTTGATATGTATTGTGAGAAAAGAATATATAAGATTTAATGTCAATAAACATGAATAGCATAAGTTTGCATCTCTCTCTCTTTTTTTTTCCTGTGTGCTCATATATGTGATTTCATGAGCCAGCTACTATTTCTAGGGAAGCAGATAGCTCAGGTATCTGCTATAAAAGACTAATAAAACAAAAGTACTTTAACTTCATTGTTTTTCACTGTATTTGAGCAATTTAATTATGTGGAGGATGATATTCAAGAAAATTTAATTGCGTATAATGCTGGAATACTCTTTGGAGTAATCCCATTAAACGTTCTTTTTTCCACATAAATATTAAGCCTGTGCATAAGAAGCTTCTCTTAGCTACGCAGAGTAACTGGTCTTAATAAATCAACCAACTTAGTCTCAACATAAACAGTACATCTATCCCTTCGGAGACGTGCTTTAACTTGCAAGATTTTGAATGAGATCATTTCACCTCATTGTTAGGCATGCCATTTTTTTAAAAAAATTAAACCATTTATTCACACTGCCATGTCATTTGTGAGAAATGTGCCAAGCAAACCATATAAAAGAAAACAATTAGAATTCCAACTCCTCCAGAAGATGCTGGCTTCAGAACCAGTTACGTAACCAATGTAACCAACTTGCTCTCTGCCTAGAAAGAGAGAGAATGGTATGGTTCCTGCTCATTACGGCTGTGCCTTAGATCTGCCAGCAGAACCTCGAAACACAACCGTCTTCCTTAGGCACCAAAGCTCTTTCAGCAGTAGTATTGCTATACTGAAGAAGCCAGTTCCCTTCCAAATGGTAACTTAGAGCAGGACAAACTAGAGATGGCCATTTCCAAGCACTCTCACAAGTTTGTTGTTGCATAGATGATGCCGGTCTCTGTGTGGTCTACTCAGAGGTTCCCAAAAATTGTTAACCTCTAAAGAATGTAGCTACAGGTATGCTAGCCCAGGGTACACACCTTTTGATTCAAAATGACCCAACACAACTGGGGCATATGTGGAGGGGGGAGAAACATCTCAACACAGTTCCCGAGTCCTCTCACTTTATGGACAGCAAATATAAATCCACTGTTTCCTTACTTGTTTAGTATCCTTCCTTTCTCCCAACGAGGCAACTTATTAAGCATTTTTAATTGAAACAGCTGAAAATACAATAAAGTATGATTTTTGAAACAAATAAACATACTGCAAATATATAATAAAATAAAAACCATTTAAAAGCACACTTCAAAAGATTTTTTTTAAAATAACTCCCCCATTGAAACTCCTTCCTAGCACAGAGTTGTTTAGTGAAATGTTGTCTAAAAAGAAAGGTCTCTGTCTGCTGGTGGAAGAACAACAGGGAAGGAGCCAGCCTGGTCTCCTGTGGGAAAGAGTTCCATGGCCTGGAAGCCACCACCAAGAAGGTCCTCTCTCATGTCCACACAAGTGTGTCTGGAGGATGGAGGGACTTCTCTAAAGATCTTCACATGCAGAGATGTTTGTAGGGAGAGATGCAGTCCTTCAGACAACTTGAATCCAGGTCATTTAGAACTTTTGAATTGTGCCTAGAGATGAACTGGTCTAGGGAAGCTGTTATTTTAAAAAAAGTTCTTTTTTCCCTGTAATGAGCTCTGGAGGAGTCTAATTCTAGCATCCTGGACTTGCTGAAGTTTCCAAACAGATTTCAAGGGCAACCCAATGTATAGTACAATGTTATGTGCCATCAAGTCAGAATTGGCTTATAGCAAATTTCATAGGGTTTTCAAAGTAAGTGAGGTATTTAAGGAGCGGTTTTATCACTTCTAGCTCTCCAGTGAGTTTCCATGGCAGAGTTGGGGAAGCAAATTCAGGTCCCCTGGGTCCTAGTCCATTACTCTGTCCACTGTACCCCATAGGGTACCCACAGCATAGTATAGTAATCAAAATGGGAAGTACCTAAAATATGTGTCACCATGATTACTTCAGATGTCTCCAGAACGGGTGCATCTGGCATGTTAGTTGTAACTTTGCAAATACACTCCTGACCATTGCTGAAACTTGGATATCTAGGCTCAGAGATGAATCCAGGACCAACACATAAGCTACTGTATAAGATGGAGTTTGCAAGTATAGCCCTATCCAGTATAGGCTGGGTTCCTGTTCCTTAACAGGCTTTTCAGTTTACCAGAAGTACCTCTGTTTTGTCTGCATTAAGCTTCAGTTTGTTTTTCCTCATGCAGTCCATTACTGACACCGGACACAGTTAAGAACTGAAAAAGCTGCTCCAGAACTGGATGGAAATGATAAATATAGTCGGGTGTTACCCAACTATATCAGACCTTCAGATTCTGGGCAGTCTCTTCCAACGGCTTTGTGTGGGTGTTAAATAGTATGGGGGACAGGACAGAATCTTGAGGGACCCCAGAGGCCAACAGTCAGGACATCAAATAAGAGTGTCCCAGTACCATCTCCTGAGCTGTCTCTTGAGGAAGGACGAGACACCTTCAGGTCCAGAAGGTTATCATTGTACATGGTATTGAAAACCAGCGAGAGGTTCAGCAGGACAAAAAACAGATGCATTCTTTTGTCTAGTTCTTGGTGTGGAGCTTCTATTGAGGCAACTGAAGTTGTTGCTGTCCCATTGAACCTGGAACTAGACTGTCAAGATCTATTTCAGTTTGTTCAAACTATGAGCTCCTGGAGCTGAGAAGTTACCATGAGCTCCAGAAACTTGCCCAAGAATGGTATATTGGAGAGTAGCCAGTAACAATCCACTACAGAGGGCTTTTTCTACAATGAGGGGCTATTTCAACAATGGTCTTATCACTTCCTATTTTAGGCTGATTGGAAGTCATGGCAGTCATCACTCCCCTTAACCATTTGGTAAACCCCTTCCAGCTTTTCTTATAAGCCAGGATCCAGTATACATGTAGTTGCTGTCATTTTTCCAGGAATTCTGTCCAAATCCCCAGGCTTTGCAAACAATTAGCACAGAACAAGCTCAGGTGAAGGTCACACCCACAGGACAGTGTCAACTTCTGCCAAGTGTTATAGGAATTCTTCACAGTGGGCTAATAAGCATTCTGTTTCTTCCCCCTGTGGGGCACAGTTGTAATAAGCCTTCAAGCCTCTATCACAATTACCTACAGAGGTTTAGATAGGGGCAATGGTATGCCGTGGCTATGTCACAGAATCTGATTCTGGTGTAGTAGATGTGGGTTCAAATTCCTGCTTACCCATGGAAATTCACTGGGGGTGGCAATGGTAACTCATGTACTTCGAAAATCCTACTTTATGAGGCTACAGTCTTCATCATCATCAGCTTAGAACTGCAGAGTTGGAAGGGACTCTTACATCATCAAGTCCGTCCCCTGTCAAGGACGCATAGTAGGGAATCAAATTCTCAACCTCTGGCTACACAGCAACTGTGTTTTGTGCTGTCAAGTTTCCAACATATAGTGACTCTAATATGGTTTTCAAAGTATATGAGGTGCTGAAGGAGTGGCTCACCATTGTATTCCCCCTAAGTTTCCATGACTAAGCAGGGATTTGAGCTCACTACTAGAGATGGGCACAAATTTTTAAAAAATCACCATATTTGTTCAAATAATAACCAGTTTGTTGATTCATATTCATACAAATCAATGCCCCCTACAAATTGCAAATCAATGATTTTTACGTGAAGAAGCTTCCATTGACTTTCCTCTATAATCCTGCCACGTTTGGTGAAGTGTGGGTTTCAACCAAGCCAAGTGCTAAAGGCCACTTTTCTGGGGGGACCCGATTTGTGGGTGTATAAATTTGATGTTGAAAACCCAAACTCCACTAATCTTGCAGGGCTTGTAGGGGAGAGTCAGGGGATCCTTCCCTGCAAATTTGCTGTCTTCAGGTGCATGTGGGGACATTTTAGAATAAAAAAAACTAATTGACAAATCAGTTCATCATGAGAAAATTCATAATTTGTCTACCTTGATGAATCACGAATCAAAATGAATCACCATTTTTCTGATTCATGCCTACCTCTACTCACTACACCACATTGGCTCTCAGTAATTTTATAGAAGGTGATAATTTGAACATTTCAATTTGTGAGTTATTATACTCAAATAATTTAGGAATAAGGGGATTTTCCCTATACTTTACATATCTGGCAATGTTTGGCTTCCTGTTTCTGCATAGTTTTGCCATTCAAATTAAGTGAAGTTCTTAGTTTATCACTTGTTTTCAGCAGGGTGGGGATGGTTTTGAACAGACAGGGTTGCTCCATTCCATTTCATTCCATAACTCAATGTTTCAATTATCTTTGCCCTGCGTTTTACTTTAAATTTTAGTATTGGCACAAGTGCAGTTTGCCATGATTCAAAGCTCATATATTTATTTTGTTTATTTTGCTTTGGGCACATTTTAGTATCTGTGTTAATTTGTATTAGTATAACTAAAATAAAGGAGAGGGAAAGGAAAGAAGACTCTTGTGGCACATTGAAAACTAATAGATTTATTTCAATGTGGTTATCGCATCTTATCATTCACGTCAGTTTGAGTTAATAAAGCATAGCAACAGCTCTTTGCATTGATTAAAACCCTACAAAATAGGGGATCTCACTTTTGTTGGGCACTTCCAGTGTTATGATTTCCTTTTGGCAGTGTGCACTTAAAGAACACACATCTGCACTTCCGTGTGCTGGGGATCAGGAAGGGCAGCAGAAGCAGGCATAATGCATTGGTTGTCATTACATGTTATCATAGTGCTTTCACTTTATGCAACCCTATGAATGAGTGACACCTCCTCCCCCAAAAGTCTTGTTCTTTATTAGCCCTTCCCAAGGCTTGCAAGCTAAAGGCGTAGCTTCCTTTTCGTGAGTCGATCCATCTCACATTAGATCTTCCTCTTTTCCTGTTGGCCTCAATCTTCACTAGCATTATTGACTTTTTCAGTGAGTCTTGTCTTCTCACAATACGCCCCAAATAGGATAGCCTCAGTTTAGCAAATTTTGCTTCCGGTAAGACTTAGGCTTGATTTGATCCAATAAAGGATTGAGTGCCTTCAAGTTGATTCCAACTATCAAACATCCTTCCACGGTTTTCTGTGTGTAAAGTTCTCAAACATAATTTCCTCTCCCTCTGGTGGAGGTCTGGGACTGTGCAGCTTGCCCAAGGCCACATACGCGGCTGGGCACATAATCCCATCAGCTGAATAAGTTTAGGATGATGTTGGCCGGTCCCTCTCCCAGAAAGCATCAGTAACATATCCATATATTTGAAGATCTTTTTAAGTTCCCTCATAGCTACCCTTTTAAGTCTCAGTCTCATTTTGATTTCTTGGCTGCAGTCTCCATTGGGATTGATAACTAGAATGGAGTTTGAAACAAACCCATAATTAAAAAACAGAAACATGATAGTGCTTCTCTGCAAGACATCATCATGGTTTAAGAATCTCAGGGCTATGGAAATTTATTTGAATTATTTATATGTTTCCTTTCTCCCCATAGGTGATGCAAGGCGGCTCACAACACATTTTTTTTTTAAAAAAAAACACTATATAAGTATCATATTTACAAAACAATTAAACATATAAGATTTAAAAATCAAATATTTGTAAACTTTCCCGATTCAGACTTTTATTCTGTTATGCTCTGGATCCCTGTATTTTCCTCCCAGTCTTGCTAGCCAAGTCTCATCTACTTCTTAATATACATTTCTAGCCATAGGCTTGCTCTAGTTAGGTAAAGTTGGACTCTTAGTGCTGCCAGAAGTAAAAGGTGAATGCCGATGGGGTTCACAATTTTGAAAGATATAAAATCATATTATCTGCTAAAAATAGTAATTGGAGGTGACTAGAATCACACAACAACCATAAAATGCTGTAAAATGTAGCAGCACAAAAACCAACAATCATCTGATCCAACAACAGCATAAATGAAAATTACTCTGACAGCAGCAATAACGGCAGCATTCAATAAAATAGATGGCTCAGTGGTTAGGAAATGCCTTCTGAACTACAGCAGTAGATCTTTTTGCATAAAGGAGACATGAAATTGGTGAGATGGCCAAACAGCTTTCCCTGGGAAGAATGTGCTCGAAGAATTTGCAAACTAAATATAGAATGGACCAAAGCCCAATGAAACCCAGCATTCTCTTTCACTTCCATTACTTGTATCCAGGATCTGGTATACAACCTCCAGGCATAGCATTTCATGCAATGAGGTGTTCCGCGATTGGCACCTGATCACCCCCTGTGTATATCACACAGAAAGGCCGTGGTGCCTGCATAGGCATTGCCATAACACTCAAAGAGGCAGGACAGCAGTTGAGAGACGCATGGGAGGCTCATGGCCAGCAGGCAGGTGGGCGAGGGCTGGGCCACTGAAGCTGGATTTCAGAACTACAGTGAGTTGTCACCCACTCAGTCCGAGGATCCCCGAGGATGTACAATCAAGAGACTAAAGCACTCACAGTGAGAAAGCTGCCTTCAGACATTCTCAGAAGTGAGAACCGTCTCAAGCCAGTATTTCATTGGCATGGTGGAGAGGGGCTCCCCAAGAGCTTGATGTGAGATTCGGGGCCAGTGGTGGTTTGGCCAGTCCAGGCAGGAAAGAGACTGGCTGCCGTGGGTTCAAATTAAAGTGCAGAATGCGAGGTCTGTGGCCAAGCAAAGAAGCCACCCCTCCCTTCTCGCTGCCTCTCTCCTCGGAAAAAAAAAAAAAAGAGCCAAAGCTTCTGTGTGAATATCAGGAAACGGGCATCCCAGCCTCCCTCCCTGCTCACCAGTGTGCCAGTGACCTCTTTTCCTGACAGGTCCTTACAAATCAGCAAAAACCCCCCATAAGGTACGGAGGTAGCCATTTCCCAGTCAACTTGCATACACAGTTATGTCTCCATTACTTTAGGGACCCAAAAGCTGACAAAGAGTTCAGAAACGTGGATCAGCATAACAAAAGCCGCGCAAGGCTTTCCTGCCCAAGCGCTCGGCTGCTGCCAAGGACTTCAGTCTGGGCCTCGAAGTTTGCCTGCCTGATGGGAAAACCAAACAGCAATATGCTCTCACAAACAAGATGCCAACAGAAGCCGGATGTTGAAAGACAGTCAGGAACACAATAGCATGCTTTTTTTCTTAGGATGGGTATGAGAGAGACGTGTGGTTCAGGCCTTTGGAAGCTCAGCCAGATTCAGCAGTGGAAGGCAAAGGCAGAAACACTGTGAGGTACAAATGTAAATGAAATGCCCATTAGGAAAAAAAAAATCATTCCCTGTGAAAACCATCAGCAAAATACATGATTGAGGCCTTCCACAGGAATCATGACCTGATGTACACATTTATGTCTTCTCATCTGTAAAAATTGCTATTTGTCTGCTTTCCAGCACTTCTCGGCAATCCCTCTTTGTCTTTAAATGCACTGCAGTGTAATCTTGCACTTAAAAGAAGAAGAAGAAGCTTTTTTCAGCCATTCTCAGATGAATTTGTACAGGAGTGCAACTTTAAGCGGCAATCCTGCATTCACTTATCTGAAGGCAGAACAAAAATGCTGTGGATAGCCTGTCATTAGGCGGTGGGGAGCTATAGCTGAGACTCTTTTCATGTTTAAAGGCAGGAACAAACATCATAGACAGCCTGTAATTAGAGGCAGAAGCTTCTTGTGGGCACTTCATGTGTGAGTGTCTCCACAAGAGACACTTATGCAAGCTCATAAATAGCTTGCTTTGTTTTGTGATTGGTGGTTAGGACTTAAGCATGGGATTTAAAAAAAAAAAAAGACTGATTTTTTTTCAAGCACCAAAGATTACCTCAATCATGTCTCCTAACACCAACCTGTTTTCAGCCTTAATTGCAGGCCTTCTGTGCAGGGGCTTTCATGTGCTGTGCTGCCCATTTCTGCCCCGACACTTGGTTAAATCCCAAAGACCAATCACAAAACAAAGCAAGCTGTTTTCTTGCACTCCCAGAAGCGAGGGATGCTCCTGCTATGACTCTGACACACAGTCAGCCCTTGAGGATGTGAACTGTCTGTATCTGTTATCAATTCGGTAGGCTTTACTTCTGAGTAGACCCGTATTGAATTGACCTGTTAATGTTTCTTCAATTTAGTTACTTATTTATATTGTGGACAATTAATTTTGATACAGTGGGGTCTTGACTTGAGAACTTAATCCGTATTGGAAGGCGGTTCTCAAGTCAAAAAGTCTGTAAGTGAAGTCTCCATTGACCTACAGTGCATTGAAAACGGATTAATCCCGTAACAGGCCGTTTTTGGTCCATTTTGGTTTTTTTCTGGTCTGTAAGTCAAATCTCAGTCTGCAAGTCAAATCTAAATTTTGCAGCCAGAGAAGTCTGTAACTCAAAAAGTCTGTAAGTCAAGCCGTCTGTAAGTCAAGGGTCCACTGTACATAGTGAGATGCTGTTTGAACTCAAGTATGTGGCGGCCTTTCCTAATGATCTCTTCCAACCATTTTAAGAGCTAATAAATAAATATTACAATATTTTGCAAGAAGGTTTCACGAAGAAATCATGGTGTTATTAAAATATTCAATTTGACATGGGTTCCTTCATTTTGGCTGCAATTAATTTTTGGTAATACAAATTTGTTTTTCTGCAATAAAACTTCTGCAGTGAAACAGGCCTCAAAGTAACTTAACTACACCTACTGGAACTTTCTGCTCTGTAAGCAAATGGCTGTAGTTCACAGGGACTGTGTATAGGACTGTGTATTGCTCTGCCATCCAGATGTTGCACATTCCATCCCAGATAAGGGATTTAAGGAGGAGAAGGTTGGTGTGGCTGTGGGTGGAGTAATTTGTCTGGCTTGGTATAAGCCTGTGGTGGTGATGCTGCCTCATCGGAAGGCAAGAAAGCAGGGGCTGAAGGAAAGATCTGGTGAGAGGCTGAGCACACAAGCAGGAAGGAAGGCAGAGACTTGCAGCAGATTCTCCCATGACAGAACACTTCTCACTTGTAGCAACTGAGGCGACAGAGTTAGATGGCTGCTCAAGTGAGGGGACAGTCATTCAGCAAGGGGACCTTCTCAGTAAGATTGTTCAGAAACATGCCGTGTCATCACATCCTGCCCCTTGGCGTCACAGAAGTTAAAATGGCAACCAGTAAACAGAGCTGGCAGTAGTCAGAGGGTTGATGAAGTCATGGGTTCCAATCCCCACGGGGTCATGAAGCGCGATTGGATGGCGGTGGACCGGTTTCCTTCACCCTGACCTGCCTCACAGAGTGGTGAGAATCAAGTGGGGAGGAGAAGAACATGTACACTAGCCTGAGCTTGTTACAGGGAAGGCAGAATATAGATACAATAAATAAATAAACATAATACTCTATTGGGTTGCATATAACAGTGGATTATCAAAGAAGATGCCATTTTCCCCCTTTTTGTTTGTTTGTGTTTTTTGCAATGGCTCTTAGACTCTTGGGTGCTAAGCTTTTAGGCTCTACAGTGCCCAGCCTGATGGAAAGTCCTAGAAAACTTGAAAGCTTACATATTCAAATGATATTTTAGTCATCCAATAAAGATATTACCCAACCCTGGCTGTAATTTTTCTTTCTCATGAATCACACTGGTGTGTGTGTGTGCGCATATAAATTCTTGGTTGTTAAAAGTTAAACCGTCTCCTTTTTGTACTGACAATTTGTCTTTCGTTTCAGAGTCACCATGAAATCACGGTTCCGAGGTGGCCATCAGTACTGCTTGCATCCCAAACTCCCGAGTACAAAAAGATTACTTAAATGGTACACAATATGGAAAGAGAAGGAGAGGTGTGTATTAATCATGGCCACTGCAGGGCAGGAGGCATTTTGTTAAGTGTTATCGTTGCGTGCCGTCAAGTCCCTTCTCTGTTAGTGTCTATGGCCCAGTCGGGATTCAAACGCAGGTCTCTAAAGGCTTAGTCTGACACTCGGTCCATTACATTCCAGTAGCTCACATGTTCATTTCAGAGAAGTTGCTTCCTTGACTGCTTGACCAGTAATTGCCATGAGATATGGACTCCTGGCTTTGTAAAGAGTGAGTTCCTTGTAAGTTGAAGGGGAAAATATTTTGCTGTCAAGTTACATTCTGGAATTTTAAGCATTCTAACATTTCAGTTGAGAGTTCATGGACCAGTATATTTCTCCAGTGTATTGACTCCAATAAACACCCATGGACTTGAACAGAATTGTTCTGTCCTTGAGCATATCTTGTTCTGTTTATGTCCATGGATATATTTGGAGTCAATGGGTTAAGCATAAATCCAGGCAACTTTAAGAAAATAAGGCCTGTGTCTTGCTTGTTTTTTTTCTGTATGCAAGAGTTCACTGCACATGTGGTCCTTCTTTGCTGCTATCTGTGCAAGGTGCTACTCACTACCCCATTGTGCAAGTGGAAGCCATGTTGTCCCAGAGAGAGCCATCTCTGGCTTGTGCAACTGCAAGCCAGAGGCTGAACAGTGTGTGCAAAAGATCTATGTTAGTTATGCTCTGTGTTTCATAACAGGATAAGTTTTTTATGTAGCAAACAAATAAATGCAACAACCGTTTTAAGTGAAAAGGTAAGTGATAATGGTGAACTGAACACAACTCCTGAATGGAAATTTTCTTTACCTGTTCCCCAAAGTCTTGACTGTCTTTAACTAAAGTTCTTAGAGTTACGGTTCTAGGTAGTTCTATCATCAAATGGGTAACTTTAGCTTACTCTCTCGAGCTGTACTGCAAACATGCAGATAGTGACATTTGACTAGTCCTTAGAAAAATTTAGTACAGTATCTATGGTATATATTATTACTGTTTTAATACCACTTTAACTGAGATAGCTGTATCCATAGGGATTCCAGGATTAACCATTTGATGAGATACCTAAAACTATGTTGTAGTTCAGGGGAGTATTTCAGAACACTCCACCAGAGAAGTCTACTTATTTCACCAAATTACAAATCACACCAAACTGCTATAATGGTTTGGTGTAATAGCACTCTAGCTCCTGAATAAGAGGGCCAGATGCAAAAGATGACAGGGTTCCTGTACCTTTGCAAGACACTAAACAATAGGGAAGTTCAGCAAATGCAGAAGCTCTGTCTTTTCTTGCATCTGGTGATTCTAATTCTTCTGAGAAAGAACTTAGGGCAGTGGTTGGAGCTTCAATGTGGCGGGGATGACCAAAAAAAAAAAAAAAAAAAACTATTTGGTAATCCTGAGGCTGGCATACTCTTTCCATTTACTCTACATCACAGGTTTGTGACTGTAAACTGGGGTAACTCCCATATGTGGTGTCTTGAACTCCTTGCATGATGGAAGAGTGGAATGCAAAACAACAACACAATTAAAATTAAAACAAATATCAAGAACCATATCAAGGCCATCAAGAAGCACCAAGGCAATTTCTAAGATCTTCAGATGAACCAACCCAAATTCTGGGGCAGGAATATAGCCTGTTCCCAAACTGAAGCTGTTTACTCAGAAATATGTTCCGCACAATTCAGTAGGACGTATTTCCTAATGAGCCTTATTTTGTTTCTCATCCCTACGCCACGCTGACAGTTTCGCCTGATTATCTGCCAGCGTTCTTGCGGCAGTTCTTTGGGAGCTGGAGAGAAAATAGTTTATACCGCTAAGTGCCAACTATTATGTAACCTCATTTTCCCTTGTTTACTGTTGAAAGGCGACCCTTTATAACAACGGAAATGACATACTCAGAAGCTTATGTTTCAATAATGCTAAGGATCTATCTTAGGGAGACAAAAGGCAAGGCATGTCAGATGGAAACCAGCCTAAACAGATGTCCAGATGCCACACATTGTACCTCCAGCTGCGATGGCTAGTAATAATAGCTCCCCTCTCGGTTTCTCTATTTCTCCAGCTCCTTGGATTTATAATGTCCATTTTCTCTCTTTCTCTCACTAGTCATTGTGATTTAGAAAGAAAACAAAAACAAAATCAACCAAACAAAACTCCACACACAACAATAGTGCCATACCTGACCTGAAACAATTAACTGCCTCCCCTGGCATTAGCATTACTCTAAGTAAAGAGGTCTCCGTGTGTCCCAGAATCTGAAGACTCATTTTTTTTCTTCTTTAACTGCACAGGGATGCTTAAAATAGTCACCATTCTCTCTTTATAAGGTTGAGTAGAAATAATGGAATCTAAAGTCTCCTTATATATACTGAAAACTTCTAAATGAATTTCAGAAGTATATGTTATAAACCATGCCTATTTCTAAAGACACAGGATTGACTGGAAGAGAAAATGAGGTTCTTGTTTTCCAGCATTTGCTATAGGAAGGAAGGAAGGAAGGAAGGAAGGAAGGAAGCAAGCAAGCAAGCAAGCAAGCAAGCAAGCAAGCAAGCAAGCAAGCAAGCAAGCAAGCAAGCAAGCAAGCAAGCAAGCAAGCTCTGGTTTTCTTAGAAACCAAAGAGGCACCCTATAGTCCTCCCAGCCAAATCCCATGCAGACTTCTGCAAGGCATCAGTTTAGGTCTCTGACAAAAGCAATCTGCCCTTCTTTGCAACATCCCTCTGAACAAGGATTGAGAGAAAAGACCATAATGGCAGGGAGAGACAGAGAGGGTTGTGTGGCAGAAAAGGAGAAAGGAAACGGGCCCTACCCACTTGAGGTTCTGCTGCTACCCACTGCTGCCTTCGGCCTTACCCATTGGCATTCTATATCCTGTGCAGATTAACCCAGAGGAAATGTTGGCCTTGACCAGGCTTGCGGGTGGGGACAAGTTCGTCATTCCTGTTCTAGAAAATCTGACCCATTCCTAGAAGTACAAGGGCTTTGGGTCTGGAAGGCTCTTTGTTACATTGGCTTGAAGTCTTTTAACATTATTTGTTCCTCAGGTTCCAAGCCTGTGCTGTAGCACCGAAAATGAATCCTTAGTACTTTGACCTGTGTTTGGAATGTTGTAATGATGTAGAGCCCAGGTGAAATCTGAATGAAACAATGTGCTCTAAGAACAGACTGTATGGCTTCTGCCCAACCTCTGAAGGATTTTTGTATAAGGAAAAATGGTTTACTCGATTGCATTCTGGTGCTGGAGAGAACAGATAACCTCTTGAATAAAACCCATGAAATGTTGTGGCATATCACATGCCTAATGTATTGTACCAGCCATTTTATTGCAATGCCACAATTTCCAATGTTCAGTGGGCAGAGTGATTACTTTCTGAGCCTAGCTTTGCTAGTGCAGGGGGGGGGGGGAATTTGGATTGGGAACAACATTAATGCTCCCCAAAGAAGCAAAGTTAAACCTTGTTTCTCAGGCTCAAAGGCAGAATATATTGATCACAGGAACACCCTTCCTTGTCTGTACAGCATGGATGAATAGAGGCTTATGTAAACAGTTGTTTTCCTTTCAGCATCAGGGTTCATTGAACTTCAGAGCACCTGCCTTGGGGTGGAATAACAGAAGCAGGATCAAAGAGCCTGATTACGTGCAAGCTGTCCTAGTAAAGACATTTAAGGGACAGGCAAAACAATGAACACAGGCGAGCCGCAGAATCAACCCTGTAGCTCTAGATAGAGGTCAATGGGGATTTTGCCAGGAGACACTGGACAGAGCTCACAGATCAGTTTTTAAATTAGGCATTAAGAGGATTTCAGGATAAATGCCGTAAAATCTGTCTCCTTGCCAGGAATAAGGCGGATCCCAGTTATGGCTGTATTGTTTTCACTTTTTTTTTTGCATAAATGCAGTACCTGGAGTTTTTTGTTTGTATGTTTTTATCCATTTACAAACTAAATCAGTTTTCAGACAGCAAACCTATGACAACATGCAGGACATGTCTCTGAGAGCAGGACTGCTAAACAAAACATATGGCAGCTGAAGACATAGTTTCAAGGACTTTACCAAAAAAAAGCCAAAACTGTCTGCTGGATCTGTGTACTCTAGGTTCTCAGACATCATCATCATCTTAGGACTGCAGAACTGGATGGGACCCTATGGATAACTGAGTCCACCTCCTGTCAAGGAGGCCCAGTGGGGAATTGAACTCCCAAACTTTGACTCTATAGTCAGATACCCAAACCACTGAGCTATCCAGCAGTTTTCTGCAGTCTGTGCTTGCTGGAAAGTAAAAAGGATGGAAATCCAGTTCTTCTATGTTCATTTCTTAGTCAGGTCAAGCACAACTCAACGTGAGGTCTTAAAGAGCTCCTCTTGCAGCTTACAACGTAAATAAAACAAGTTTAGAATTATTTCCTAGAAGATTAGACAGTTTCATGATGTTTCATATGGTGGCTTAACTGCCACTGGCTGGACAGCAACAGTAGAAGAAGGCAAAGGTCTCTGCACCCTTTCAGAAGCATCCAGTTGGCAACTGTGGGCAAAAGGATTCTTGATGACACCAGAATGGGTGTTCTTATAACCATATGTTTTTAAGAGACTCTGGAAAACTATGCTGATTTGAATAGGCACCAATCTGTTGTTGACTCAAAGGGTTTGCCTTAAAAATCTGATGACAACTTTTCCATGATCTCCTTAACACTAGGGGAAAGATCATAGAATTCAAACTTTTGCTAAGGCTATTGCCTTGAAGATGCTACTTACCAGTGCTTTGACATTTAGTGGAGTTTGTGTTTTTTCAATCCGTTTGATTCAAAACATGTTTCTTTATTTTTATCTTCCCAGAGTTTATGAAGAGTGAGGAGGTTACATCTTGGTAAAAGAAACAGGACTGTGTGATGGACATGACAAAAATAAAATCAGTGGAGGAGATAACTTCTTACAAGACGTGATACAAAATCTATATTGTTATAAAGCACTTTTTACCAAGGATCACTTTTTACATTTTATAGCTGTTTTAAAAAAATCAACCAGATTTCATAAGTGTCTTTGAAACACGAAATTTCATACATACCTTCTTTGTAGTTCATGAGATATAATCTTCATTTAAAATCTGTTTTGTTTGTTTTGTTTTGTTTAAATCTTCCTTTGATAGTTGTTTGTATATCACTATGACTGGAAACTGGGCTTTATAAGCTCATTTGGTGAACCATAATTTGTAAAAAAAAGTTTAAAATAGTATGAGATTTTTGGCATTGTGGAAAATGTATTACACAGCTATAAAGATTTCCAGTAGCAGGATACATGGTTTTTGGTACGAGAGGAGACTAAGGTATGGTGAGCTAGGCAGAATGATACACTGAAAAAAAAATTCAAAATAAAAATTATTAGTCGTTATAAAGTAGATATAAGCTGTTCAACTTTTAATGTCTATAGACAGGTGGCTTGTGATCATGTGTACGGGGTCCCCCTTGAAATTTTGGGGTGATGTGCCCCTCGTTTGATCTTCAGGCCACCCATGCCTATAGAGAATGTAATATGCAATATGCTATCCCCTTCAGAAAAATTTTGTACAAGAAAAAAAATTCTACAGCAGTTTAATACAAAGAAAGCACTTTTTTCCACCTGAGGGTTTTAATAAATTTGCATCTTCGATACTGAGATATTTTAAGCTTTGGGAATATTGTATAGGGTTGTTTAGATTTGTAGCTTGAGATTCTCAAAAAAAAATGTATCCTATTGAAAAAAAACTGATCGGGGAATGAATAAATTTCTAGTAGTGACAAAGCAATACCTTCGAATGTAATACTTTAAATGGTAAGCAGTGCATTCCTGTATTTTAAAATTATGAATAACAAAAACTACCTTTTGAAATGTAAATATACTACAGGAGATTCCCCTATATTCTCTTTCTGTATAATGTATTGTACTGCTAAATTATCATATGCTATTTAAATGTTTGAAATATTTAGGAAGTTGCATGCAGGTTTCATATTTCTTTCTATGAGAAATGGTAAAATAAGGAATAAAATACATTTTAAAGGTGCTGAGGATTTTCTTTTCTGCTTGATTAGAAAAAATTATGGTCCCATGAGTAAGACTATATGAATTATGCTTGCCTTAATTGTCAGTGACTGCTCTGCATGCATACCATTGAGAATGCTGTATCAGTGGTGTATTCGCTATGTGTAAATAGAAGAGACTGCAGATACAAAGAAAGGAATCTTTCCTCTCTTTGTATAAATGGAAATTCTACAAAGATACACATGTGGGTAAGCAGGCAGGCAGGCAGGAACGCATACATATGAAGAGGACACCCATCTTCAAACTTGCCCATTACTACTGCAGCCTCTCAGTTCATACCCTCTCAGTTCATACCACTGCCTGAATTGGGAAAAAGGTGAAAGAGGGTGGTCAGGCAGGGATGCTCACATTAAGAGTGAAACAGGCCTTAAATTTGAGCTAACAGTTAATTCTGTTTGAAATTCAGTCCTTTTCTTCGTGCCCATTCTGAATCGGAGGAGGAAATTCTTCCAGTGTTAATATATATTTTTAAAAGTCTCCATTGGGGAAAAAACACAGAGACATGTGTCAGAGTCTGGCAAAGCAATAACTCCACTCATTCAATCTGATTTTGATGTGGCCACTGGGGAATAACAAGATACTGTCTATTACTAGCATTGGATCATTTGGAAAGTTGAGGTTGACTTTGGTTTGGAAAATTATCTTTTAACCTATGTCCAAGGCCGATTGGGTGGTTATCGGGTGTAACGAATTAACAGGGCACCAATTTAAGGCAGGGAAGGAGCAGGCAGAATGAGCAGAGCAGAGCCAAGAGCCATTTTGCAAATTTGTCATCAGCCCAAAGATCACATTCGCAAGGAGTGGAGCTGAAAGGGCTAATTAGGATTTTTCAGTTTATTTAAAAAATTAAACCAGTTGTATAGTAGTCTCCCCACATCAACAGGATCAATAGCTGCTGATTCGCTTATCCACTGCCTGAAAATACTAAATAAAACAATTCAGAAATGTGTATTTAGATCAGGGGTCTCAAACATGCGGCCCGAGGGCCATTTGTTGCCCGCTGGATGATAGTTTGTGGCCCCCACCTTGCTTGCCCCCTGAAGCGCCCATGCGTCCTCTGCTGTCAAGAGTCAAAAAAAGCCTCGCCTTGCTCACCAGTTCTCTCCCAAGACAGCGCCTCTTGCACCCTCTATCTGGAACTGCCTATTTTTGAGGGGGGGCTTTCAGAGGAAGCTTGCCGGACCTCCATGTGTGTGTGTGTTTGAGGGCTCGCGCTCCCCTCCTCCTCCTCAAAGCCCCAGCCGGGTTAAGGGAACTCCTGGGTAGCTTCATCGGGCTCTTGCTCCACTTGGCGGGAAATCTGACACAGCCCGGCCTCACCCAGACTCTGCCTCCAGCGGCCCCCAGGTAAATTGAGTTTGAGACCCCTGATTTAGATGTATTTTCAGGGTGTAGTTACCAAAACTGGCCAGTAAAGGGAGGCAGAGAACATGATTTCAATACTTCTGTGTCTTTTGGCATCCATAGGGGAGGTTGGAACCAACCCTCCACGTATACTGTGGTTCTATTCTATACAGTAATGATTGCTATAATGTTTTTGTTAAATGAAACATAGCTTTAACTTGTTTTAATGTATTTTTGGTGGAAAAGCTGCCTTGCACCCTTAAGTGGTCAAAATATAATTTTTTAAAAAAATTAAACAATTTGGAGATATGGGGCTGGACTGGCCAGAGTGAAGTGGGGTGCTGAGGGAAAAAAAGTTTTATTTAAATTTTTGTAAAAACGTTTTTTGGAGTGTAGATGCCTGGGAGCTGCAAAAATGGCATTTGGCTCATTGGCTGGATATCACTCACCCCCAAAGTAAAGAAAAGGTCAAGCATTAATTAATAAGGACATCCAGATGTGATCTGCACTCTGTACAGTTTCTGTCAGGAAACAGCTGAATGGCAGGACAAGACTTGGAAGAATCAAAGACAACAGAATGGCTTTCAGAACACAGTAAAAGCAGAGGCCAAAGGAAAGAAAGGCAGAGAGCAAAGCCAGCTGGCAAAGGAAACGTGGGCTGGTACTGTCGGCTGATGACTCAGCTGCAGATCTTTCTTACGGTCATATGGTCACACAAACTGTTAACATGTGTGGATATCACAGAAGCCAAGTGAGTGAAAGTGTGTGTGTGTTTAAAAGAGAAATTTCATATGCCTCATGTACAGAAGCTGCATTGAAATATTCTCAAGCTGTTCAGGTTAAATCCATGCCACAAGGGGACCATGTCAGCAGCATCTTCTCCGTCCTTCTTTCTCTCAGGTTTTACATGTTGAGGGAATTTCTGAAGGAGAGAGCCTCTTTGTCCATGGATGACACTATGCCTGACACTCCCTTGGCCTTCCTTTATCCTCAGCCAACGGTCTCTCTGCCTTTTGCTCACTGGTGCTGGGCCTGATCTCACTGCTGGAATAAACCAGCAGAAGGATAGTTCCTTCTGGATTTTGACCCATCATGTGGACTTTAGCCCAAATCCAGGTTCTTCTGCTCCTATCAGGAGTGTTCACACATGTGGAATAACGTCCAATGAATGGATTCCACATCCACCTCAAAATGAATGTACCTCTGGCAGAGGAGCAGAAAAACTCCCTCCCTCAGCATACTACTCTGCGCATCCATGTGCCTCATGTGCACACCTAAATTGGAGTTGGATTTCTTTTAGCAGAACCCAATACAAGAGAGGTTTTTATTGATGGTGGGATCAGGCTTTTTGACATGTCAGTCAATCCCGTCATGTGAGGAGACAGTTGTCTTTAGTGCAGAGTAACAAGGGATGAGATTTTTAAAAGCCTGAATGTGCTTCAGTGAGGTTTAGGAGGTGAGATCATATTTTAAAAATGAGCTCAGGTTCAATAAGTTGGGGAAAAAATGAGCAATACACCATAAGTAGAAGTGCTAAAAACATCTGTCTCTATCATCAAAGTAATCTCTGTAACTAACTTCCTAGTCTGCTTTATATGATAGTAGAAGCTGTTTCTTGTCAGCTGGTATTTTTCAAGGTTCAACCCAGGGGGGGGGGAATAACAGAAGGGCAAACTGCCTTCTAGATCAGTGGTTCCCAACCTTGGGTCCCCAGATGTTCTTGGACGACAGCACCCAGAAATCCTGGCCAGCACATCTGGTGGTGAAGGCTTCTGGGAGTTGATGTCCAAGAACACCTGGGTTGCCCAAGGGTGGGAACCACTTGTCTAGACCAATGTGAGGCCAGAGGTTGCTCACCTTGCCAGCTAGCACCCTCGCACAAAAATTCTAAGGCTGAGGAGAGTGCCAGGGTTGTCCATGACAGACAGAGCCTGGCTACATGCTGCTGTTTGAGTATTGTTCCTTTCTCTCAGTCCTCCCTTTATTAACGCTCTTCATGTTCCCTATGCTCATTCTCTCTCCCTCTCCCCTTTTAATTTTTGCATGGTGTATCATCTGGGCTGTAATCATTTTTCAAATATGCTATATCGAGTTCCTTTTTAATAAGAGTGCCAGAGCAGCCCGTGCAGCTGTGCTAAAAGCACGCCACAGTACTGAAAAAAAAAAGAAGTGGAAACATTTCCTTGCCTTTTGTCAACATTAAGTACTCTGTGGAATTAGTAATGGGATACAGAACCTGTCAGCACTTACATGTCACTTGTTCTTATATGGTCTAGGGCAGAAGTGGCCAAAACTTTATTAACAACTGTCTAGTGAAGTTTCACTCTTACTCTCCAGATGTCTGCCGTGCCTCAACTTACTAGGAAGCCACTGGGACACACTTGTAAGGGGCATGGCACTAGGATTGCATTAAGCAAAACTGAATGACCGATCTTCACTGCATTTACTAACTTCCCCTGGACCACTGGTGTGAAACCAATCAACCACACTACAACCCCAGATAGGGATCTACAAAAACAACCTCTCTTCTCCTTGCTCCCTTACAATTTTTGTTGTGTTTGTAAATCAAGCTTGGCATCCACGAGGACAAATATCCTGACAAAAAGGAAAGTGTCTATGTGGGAAAGGAACAATGGCCACCTTACTGTTACAGCTATAAAATTTAGTCTGCCATCTTACTCCTGTGTGCATGCATGCCCAGTGGAGAACAAGAAGGGAATGGCAGCTGTACTAGGTCCAAATAGTTCCTGTTGTAGAGAGGTCAAAAGCACAGCACAGATGCATATGAGAAAAGCACAAG